TTTTTTTTATTCTCTTATAAAATAAGAAAAAAAAATGATGATGATGATAATAATAATAATAATAATTTTAACGTAATTTACAAAGATTTACAACCCCTTTGAATTATTTTTTTTTTATTTTATTTTTTAATTCTTTACGGCTTAAGAAAAACAAAAAAAAAATGGCGGGAAAAAGTAATTCTCGCAAAGGAAAAAGAAAAAAAAGCAGAAGACGGAAAATAAATTTTTTTTTTTTTTTAGATAAATGTATATTTTAAGGGTTGATTTTTATTTAAATGTTTGAAAAGAGGGATGAAATAACAACATATTGTGAAATATGAACAAAACGACCGTGAAACTTTGTGGGATTTTTTTTTTTTGTGTTTCTCCAGTCCATATGTTGTTTTTTTCTGGACAAAAATGTTTGTTTTTTTTTCTTTTTCCAAAATCGTAAAATCTCTCTTTACCTACCATATTTATTTGTAAGTCACGTGACTCTAAACTAATAACAAAACGATCATTCCTATCGCAGGATTAAAAGAAAAAAAAAATCAAAAATTTTCCAATTATTATTTTACTACTCGTCTTTAGTTTTTTTTTTTAAACGACAAATCTCGAATCGTTTTAAAATCGATTTATCGAATTAATTTGAAATAATAATCGAAACGTTTTTCTTTTTTTTTTTTTTTGTTTATTGCGTGTTAAAAATGACGACGACGACGACGATTACGATGACGATGACGACGATCCTTGCACGAATGTATTCAATATAAAAAAAAAAAATTATTACTATTATTTTTAATAATAATAATAATAATAATAATAATAATTTCAATGATTTTATTTAATATCGGTACGATAATAATGATGATAATAATAATGATAATAATTTTGAATTCGTTTTATACGTAAAAAAAAAAGAAGGAAAACGTCAAAAATAATTTTATGTAAAATAGAAAAAATAAACGGAGCGGAAAAATTAATACTTTTATTACCGAACTGTTTTTTTTCCAACCGAAAACAGGTGAAGGCTAAAAGAGAGAGAGAGAGAAAAAGATGGAAAAGGGGGGAGAGAGAGAAAGAGGAAGGGAAAAAGAAAAGAGAAAGAAGGGAAAGAGTGAGAGAAAAAGAAACAAAAAGAGATACAGAAAAAGGCAGAGAGAAAAAAAGAGTGAAAGAGATAGAGAAGGAGAGAGAGAGAAAGAGAGAAAGAAAAAGAGAGAAAGACAGAAGTGGTTGTTATAAAATAGAAAAGCAGAAGAAGAACGAAAAACGAAAAAAAAAAAAAAATTGAAATTAACAATCCGGAATAAAATTTTTAAAAGTTTAAAATGCAAAAAAAAAATTGTTATCAATGTCAAAAAATCACCGAAAAGGAAACAATAATAATAATAATAATAATAATAATAATAATAATAATAATAATAATAATAATAATAATAATAATAATAATAATAATAATAATAATGATGATGATGATGATGATGATGATGATGATGATGATGATGATGATGATAATATTTTAAGCATTTGATAAAGTTTTTCTCAACGACCTCTTTTAAAAAATTTTTCTTTTTTTTTACTATTCGTTAGTATCTGTCTGGAATTCAAAAACAAAATGGCCGTCTTAGTGGTAAAAGAATGGTGATAACGATTGTAATAATCTCGATATAAAAATAAATAAATAAAGACAGGGAAAATAATAATAATAATTATTATTATTGAATGGATTAATAACGAAAATTGTTTTGATTAAAACCTCGAATTTGGGATTCCAGGCCGATTCCCACAAAAAAAAAAAAGAAGAAAAAGGAAAAAAAGAAGGAGAAGGAGAAGGAGGAGAATATCCCGAAACGCGTTCAAAAAATAAAAAAAATTACGCTCATAACCATACGTATATGAAAAAAAAACGCAGCGACAGCAACAACAGCAACAACAACAAATTTTTTATTCAATCCTCGTAAAAAAATTCACACAAGAAATTTTTGTTTGATGAACATGGTCGGAACATTATTAAAAAAAAAAAAAAGAAAAGAAAAGAAAAGAAAAGAAAAGAAAGAATATATATATTTCAAAAGAAAATTCTAGAAAGAAAAAAACGTGACTTTAACAAATCGGAAAATTCTAACATACGTACGTATCTATTTACACGTTTATTCGAAAAAAAAATAAGAAAAAAAAACTTTTAACTTATTCGTATGTTTATTATTAATCGTCGTGTAAGTAGAAGATTATAATTAAAATATTATTATTATCATTACTTAGAATAACGTTCAAAATTATTATTATTATTATCAATTTATAAAATAACGGTCGAAATTATTGTTATTATCATTATTTTTCCTAAAAAAAAGGAAAATTCGACATCCGTACTCGAGATTTTAAATATTTTTTATTATTTTTCTTTTTTTCTCCTTTAAAATTCGCAACAAACAAACAAACAGGCAAACAGACAAGTAAACAAAACTAAAATAAATAAATAATGAGTCGATTCTGAAGAAAAAAGAAAAAAATATTAACCGCTGGAAAAAAAGGGAGCAAACAATATACAAAAAAAAAAAAAAAAAAACGAATGCGATGCAAATAAACAAACGCAACAAATAAATACACATAACAATCGACAAACAAACGAAAAAAAATATAATAATAATAATAATAATAATAATTGCTGTTGCTGTTGTCGTTGTTGTCGTTGCTGTTTCCGTTTTTATTTATAAATTTTTTTTTCTTAACTTTTTTTAAATGTAAAAAATTATTTTAAGTAAATTTTTAATGGGGAAAAAAAAATCGTGTAAATAAAAAAATTTAAATTTCGGACATGACTTCCGTTTCGCGCGCTTTTTTATTAATTTAAATTTTTTTTTGTCTTTCTATTTTATTATACGGGGTTTTAGACGTTATGATAATAAATTCGCGGTTTAAAACGATAATTGTGATAAAGTGGAATTAGAAAAGAAATAAGACGTGGAAATAGATAGTATTTTTTTAAAAACGTGGGAATAGAATAGTTTATTTTCATTTATTTTATTTGAAATGAAAAGAAAAAAAATTTGAAAAAATAAACGAAACGACGGTGGATTTGACGTAAATAATACATTTCAAATTTTCATTTCCGGTTTGTTTGTTGTTGTAAAATTTGTTAAAAATATATTATGTTAGAACAAATCGAATCCGTTAAAAAAAAAAAGAAATTTTGTTAAAGATAAATTTAAGATATAAAATTCAAATTTTTAACGAAAGAATCGTTCGTGTAACAAGAAAATTAAAGAAGTAAATTAATTTGTTCTTCCGGTAAAATGGCCTGGAATCTACTGGAAAATCATTTTCAGGGCTGTCATTAGCATTGTAAGTGAAAATCACGGGAGTAAAAAGTTTCCTGAAGGAAAAAAAAAAAATTAAATTAAATTCTAAAAAAAAAAAAAAATTCGAATTCGAATTCGAATTTCACGATTTAACAAAAAAAAAAAAGTTATTCCGCCATTTTGTTTTTCCTCGATTTTAAATCGAATCAATTTTTTTTCTTTTTTGACCTTTTACCTTTTACCTAACCCCCTTCTTAATTTTGTTCGTCTAATTTTTTTCCTTCTTATTTTTTTACAGAGATGTAAGCCTAAATAAAAATGGAGGGAAGACAAAAAAAAAAAAAGTGGTAGCAGATAAAAAAAAAATTAATTTAAAAAAAAAGTTTTTTTTTTACTCTTTCGAATCGGATTCAAAAATAATAATAATAATAATAATTTTAAAAAATTTTTATTTTACCCATAATAATAAAAATAATAATAATAATTTGTTTAAATGATCAGTGCCGTATCCAGGTTTTCTTTTTGTTTAATTTTTAAAATCTGCAAAATGAAATTAAAAAAAAAAAAAAATTTGTAATGATGACTTTTTTACTTTCGGAGAGAAAAAAAAACTGGATAACGAAGCTTGAGGCAACAAGGGGAAGCGGAGGAAAAGCAGGAGAAGAGGGGGAATGGGAAGAAGGGGGAAAAGAGAAAGAGGGAATAAAATAAAAAAAATGGAGAGAAGAAGAAGAAGGAAAAAAAAAGGAAAATGTTTTTCTTCTTCTTCTTCTTTTTCTTCAAGTCGAATTTCTAAAATAAATTACTTTAATTTAAAATAAGGAAAAGTTTATTTCTCAGTTTCTCCAGTTTTTCTTCCAGTTTCTTCAGTTTTCCAGTTTTAGGTATTCAGTTTACCATCCTTTTGAAATTTATTATAATTAAAAAAAAAAAAAAAAAAGAAAGAAAAATTACGTTTAAAATCTTGTAACGAAAAAATTTTTTTTTTTGAAAATAAAAAATTATTATTATTATTATTATTATTAGTTGTATTTTTTCTCTTTTTTTCCCCTCTCTTTTTACTCCTTTCCTCTACTCCCCTTCTCCCTCTCTCTCTCTCTCTCTCTCTCTCTCTCTCTCTCTCTCTCTCTCTCTCTCTCTCCAGGTCATTACCTGGATTTGGGAGAAAAAAATTAGGCCACCTTTTTTTAGACTCCATCTCTTCCTTTTTCCCGATTCGTTCATTACAACACGTTCACAAAGTCGATAAATGACAATAATAATAATGATGATAATAATAATGATGATGATAATGATAATAATGATAATAATAATAATGAATTTGAACGATGAACAACACCTCATTTAAATTATCATGTTTTTTTTTCTTTTTATTGTTTTTTATGTTTACGTACAAAACTTATTAAATGAATGGTTTTAATAAGATTCATAATAATAATAATAATAATAATAATAATAATAATAATAATAATAATAATAATAATAATAATAATAATGATAATGATAATGATAATGATGATGATAATGATGATTATGATGATGATAATAAAGAATATAATTATCGAGCTTATGCGGAAAGAGGGAAAAAAAAGTTTTAAATAATTAACAAACGGTTATAAGTAATCCCGTTTTATTTTTATGTATGCGTATATTTATTATTATTATTATTATCATTATTATCATCATCATCATTATTATTATTATTTTATCGGTGGGATGTTAATAAATTTTAAGTGGGAAACGTTGAATACACGCGGCGTTAAAAAAAGTCTCCAGTGAAGGAAAAAAAAAGGAAATAGTTTTCGAATTTGAGAATTTTGGCAAATATTAAGACGACGACAACGACGACGATGATAATGATAATGATGATAATGATGATGATGATGACGGTGTTAAAAGTAGTGGTAATAATAATAATAACAACTTACCGTTTTATTTCCAAGGTTTTTGACTCTGCAATTAAGGTACGCCGTTTTACCAAGCAAAGCCGTCACATTTTTAGACGCAGCCTTATCGAAAAATGGCGTCCCACGATTATTATTATAGTCTAATGCATTATTACTGGAACTTTCTTTATTTTTTCCAGTTTCTCTTTGTGCTCCAAAAGCTGGAAAAACAAAATAAAAAAAATTTAAAAAATTAAAGAAATTTTTACGCGAACGTTTTTTCTTTTTTTTTGTTATGGCGGTTGAAGGGAGAGGAGAAGGGGTAGGCGGAAACGGAAAGAAAACGATTTTATGTCACTTCCTTAGTAAGCGGAAATTTTTTTTTTTGTTTCTTTTATTTTTTTATTTTCGCGACAAAAAAACACGATTTTAACGTAACAACCTTTGAATTTTCAACAAAAAAACAAACAAAATCAAAGAAAATTTTCATTAAAAAAAAAAAACCTCTCTCTCTCTCTTTGATTCTCTCACTCTCTTTCGTCGTAAACTGAATTCGAATAAAAAAATAAAAATTTTTTTTTTTTATTATTTTTTACCTTCGATTCCGTCGGTCGACTCATTTAACCCGAATAAAACAAAAGTTCAAAGGTCATATAAACTCCTGTTACGTAATCAATATGGAAGAAAATTTTTATTTCGCCCAAATAACCAAAAAAAAAAAAAAAAACAAAAAACAAATACTGATATCGTTTTTCTTCTTCTTCTTCTTCTTCCAATTATTTATCATTATCACTATTATCAAACTCAAAGTTACGTTGAAATTTTACGTCACAAATTAAAATTAAAAAAAAAAAGTGGCATCAGACAAAGTGGCACTAGAAAAAGTGGCATCAGACAAAATGGCACCAGAAAAAATGGCATTATAAAAACAAACATTTTTATTTAAACAATTTTAAAGTAAATAATTTATTTGTTTCGTTTAAAATAATAATAATAATAATGATGATGATGATGATAAATAAAAAAAGTCGAAAAGAAAAGTTTCGTTTCGATTATTGGGTAAAAAAAAAATAAAGAATGATTTTTTCAAGAATAATAATAACTAACAACGAAAAGTAAAGAAAACAATAATTAATCGAAAAAAAAAAGAAAAAAAGTCGAAAGAAAGAAAAAAAAAGGAATGAATAAAAAGGAGAGAGAGAAAAAAAGAAAAAAAAAGGAAAAAAGGAAGGAAGGAAGGAAGGAAAAGTTCATCCATTTAATATAACAAAACTTATTTTTCTCGATCGAAAAAAAAAAAACTAGAAAATTGATTAAATTTTTCCTTTTTTTTTTTTTTAAAAAACAAAAAATAAAATAAATTTTATCATCATACTTCCTTTGAATTTTTTTTCCTTTTTCTATTTTTTTTTCCTTTTTCCCCTCCTTCCCTTCCCCCCTTTCCTCCCCCCTCTCTCTCTCTTTCTAAAAAACTTTCGTGAATTTAAAAAAAAATAATTTTTCTTTTATTTTATTTAAAAAAAAAAAAAAACAACATCATTAAATTTTATTTTATATATATATATATATATCGAATGAAAAGATTTTTTCTTTTTTATTTGTATCTTCTGCTTGAATAATAATAATGATAATAATAATAATAATGATGATTAAAATTAATAAAACAAATTGAAAATCAATAAACGAAAAAAAAATTATTTTTTTTTTAAAAACAAATTTAATTAATTAAATATAAATAAATTACGTGAAAGTTATCATTATCATCATCATCATCATCATCATTCACTACGTCACCAACAAGGAAAACAACAACAAACGAAACAAACAAACGGAAAAAAATAATAAAAATTAAATTAAATATCAAAGAAAAATAATCATCATTATCGTATTTATTTCACATCCTCAAACGATATTTTTTTTTTTACGTTCTAACTCGATTAATTATTCGCTTTTTTTTCTTTTTCCACGTTTTTTTTTTTTTTTATTAGTCCCACGTGACTTTTTTTTCTCCTTACTGATTTTTTATTTATCATCTCATGTATATATTGCTTATAACTAATAAAGACTAAAAAGTAAAATTTATGAAAATTAAAAATTCTCTTTTTCCCCTTTTTTTTTTCTTTTAATTCGATATAAAGTAAAAAAAGAAAAAAAAATGAAAAGGTCAAAGGTCGATAAAATAAAACTTGAAATGATAATAATAATTTTTGTTTTTCATTTATGTTTTTTTTTTTTTTTAAAATTTTAAATTTTAAATCGGTTTTTTATACGAAGAAAAAAATAAAACGGATTTTTTTTTTCCTTTTTCCACTCGCGACCGTCACTACCGCCACCACCACCGCCGCTGCCATTAAAACAACAATGAAAACGTGATTAACTTACGAAAAAAACGAAAGATCGGAAAATTTTTTTCCTTTACGATTTAATTGAAATAAAAAAAGTCAAAAAAAAAATTTTTTAATTTATCAAATTTCGGAATAATTTATATAAATAATAATAATGATAATAATAATAATAATAATAATAATAATGATTATGAGGATAATGTTGATGATGAAAATGATGATGACAACAAAGGTTCTACTTCCGGTCAAGTGGAAATAATTTTTTTCTTTGTAATAATATGTCATAAGTGAAGAGATTAAAAAACAATTATTTCAACGTAAAGTTATTCCGCCAATTTATTTTTTTTTTCTATTTACACGTCAAAAATTTAATCCTTTTTTAAAAATGGAAGCAGTAAAAAAAAATTTTCAAAAAAAAAAAAAAAAGAATTTATTCAACGGATAAAATACAAATTTTTTTTTTTTCTATGACACGTCGTAATCGTGTCGCGTAAGCATCGAACCCCGTAAAACTCATTTAATATTATATCTCAAACGTAATGAGTCGTAAATGATTTTGCCGTCGCTCCTCCCCTCCCCCCCTTCCCCACTTTCCCACTAAAAACGCCTCCTTCTTTTTTTTCCAAAACTTTCTCCAGACTTTCTTTTACCTTACCAAAAAAAAAAAAAAAAAACATGGCGAAAACGAAAACTTTTTTTTCATTTTCTTTTTTTTTTTTTTTAACGATCAAAAAAGAAAATTCGACACTTACAAATTTTTTTCTTTTTTTTTTTTTCATCGTAATTTTCCAGTAACTATCAGTGAGAGAGAGAGAGAGAAAAAAAGGGGGAGGGGCTTTTGAAAACAATAATTTCCACGTTATAATATTACATAACTTTTCGAAATTAAACTTTATTAATTATATAAACATTTAACTTTATAATTATTATTATTAAAATTTTTATTAATTGTTATTAATTTTCGAGTATCGAATTTAAATCGAAATTTTTTTTTTTATTAGAGTTGAATCTAGGTCGCCATTTTGTTTTTTTTTCTTTAAACAAAAACCCTCTCGTTTAATTTATTTATTTAATAAATAATAATAATAATAATAATGTAAATTTTTTTTTAAAAATAAATTGTATGCATATAGTTTAAAGAAAAAATTTTATTTGTTTGTTTGTTTGTACGTTCGTTTGTTTGTTTGTTATGAAAACGTTTGTTTCCTTCAAATTGTTTTTTTCTTTTTTCTTTTTATTTAAATTATTATTATTATTATTATTAACGGAAATTTATCGATAATTAATTTGTTTACATTTTGTTTGTTTATAATAAGATTAAAAAAATTTTTTTGTATTTGTTTGTCGGTTGTTGTTGTTATTGACGTGTTGATGACGTTCAAAGAAAAAAAATTAAATAAATAAACAATTTAATGTTTTTAACATTAATTAATAAGGACAATGACGACAACGACAACAACGATGACGACGATGATGATGATAATGATAATGATGATGACGTATATAATTTGTTTGAAATTTACAAAAAAAAACGTTCGGATAAGAATTTTCCGAACGTTTGGAAAATTTTTTTTTTATTCGATTTTCCAATCATTTTTTTTCCTTTTTGGTTGTTTGTTTGTTTGTTTGTTTCTCATCATGAATTTCTTTCATTTTTTTTTTGTAAAAAACGTTTAAATAATTAAAAAATTACGTAGAAGAATCACGAATTTAACCGAATTTTATCGAATTTTTAAATCCTTTGATATATTTTTTTTTTTTTAATTTTTATTTATTTATTTATTTAAAAAAAAAAATTCTCTTTTACTCAAAAAAAAAAAATTTATCATCAACATCAAAGAAAATAAAATTTTATTTTTAAAAAACGGAAACGGAAACGCAAATGATTTTTTATTTATTTAACTAAGTTAAAACCATTAAAAAGTGTCCATATGCTTTTTTTTCTCTAAAGAAAACAAATCGTAGCTGTTTTTATTTTTTGATTTTTAGTTTTTTTTTTGGGGGATTTAACTTCCCCTTTTTAACGAATGTTCTATAAAATACTTTCGTTAAAAAAAAAGGATAAAAAAGGATCGTTAGTAGATCCTTTTACGGGAAAGTTTTTTGTTTCAATAACCATAAACCATATATATATATATATATATATATATATATATATATATATATATATATATATATATACATAAATATCAATACGTGTAAAAAAAAAAGAAAAATTTTTAAACTTTTGTTATTCGTACAAAAAAAAAAAAAAAATTTCGGATTGGTTTGCCAAACATTAAAATAAATAATAATAATAATAATTTAAAAAAAAAAAAAAGAATCTGTAAGTGACGGTTTGAAAATAAAAAAAAAAAAACAAAACAAAACAAAGGAAAAGTGAAATAAAAAAAAAAAAATCGATCGTTTTTTTTTTACAACCGCCACTCACTCTTTTTTTATCTCTCTCTTACCTCCCTCCTCTCGCTCTCTTTCTCCCCCCACTCTCTTTCTCTTTTAGTTTATTATTATTATTATTATTCGATTTACTTCCGGTTGTTAAATTCAGACCGATTTGAATGAATTAATATAATAATAATAATAATAAAAAAAATAAATTATAAAACGAAATTTTTTATAACAAAAACAAAAAAATTAACAAATTACTCGGCGGCGGTGGCGGTGTCGGTGGCGGTGGCGACGACAAAAAAAATGGCGTTCGATAAAATGAAAATTTATAAAATTTTTTTTTTGTTGTTGTTTTTTTTTTTTTAAACGACAGGAGTCATGGGAGCCATTTAAAAAAAAAAAAAAAAAAAAAAAAACATAAATAAAAAAATTCCCGAACAAAATCTTATATTGTTCTCTCGCGTGAAATGTTTGCACACCTTTAGTAAAATTTAAATTTAGTCAACTGATAAGAGTGATAATAAAACTGATAAGAGATATTCGAAGTTATTAAGGGTTGATATTTAAATGGGTGACCGTTTGAAAACGTGACGTAATGTTGGTAACTCAACAATGAAGGAACGAAAACGATTACGTCGATTTGAGACAGATCCTGATCCGGATTTTAATATCGCCTAATCGCATGAGGTACCATTATTAAAAAAATTGTTTTGTGGTTGTTATGAATACGAAACAAACAAACAAACTCTCGAGGAGGTACTCTTTTTAAAAAATTCAAAAAAAGTTTTAAAAAAAAAAAATTTTTTTTTTGTTC